TTTTTTCCTTTCTGATTATCCTTCCATGCTGTGACATCTTGTGACTTTTTAGGTCCCTCCGAAAGCTTTGATTTGGCGTTCTTTTATCCGACGCCACCTAGGAACATTCCCTTTTATGTTAGTTTTCTATCTGGCCCGTCAGTGTTAACGCCGTCTGTTTATCAGTTCTTTCAAATTATTTAACAAAATTTACTTGTGGTCGAGATGTGAACTGGGAACTTGTACATATGTCCATCCGTTTCGCGAGTAAAGTGGCAAGTTTAAAAGTTTGTGACTTTTTTATAAGAAAATATATTTATCGTTTTTTTGTGATTGGAGTGGAATGCGTACGTCTAACAGTAGGTTTTTCTTATTTCTGCCTCTTGCAAAACCAAAGATTCGCACTCGCCAGGAGTATAACCGAAATCTCGACATTCATTTTCACGTAAAGTTTCATTTTATACTATTACATTTGTTAGAGATTTTCTCTTTACCCGCCCATTCAAAAACTTCTATCTGAATTGCCCGGTAAATTTGCGGTGGATGTCGAAAATACGACTGCGAATAAGATTATATATTACAGATACGCGCGATGATTTTAGTCTTCACAGCTAATTGTTACGTCAACATTTACGAGTTTTGCGTTGTAAACACACAACGCCTAACAGACTATGGCGCATCCGAGGTTAAGAATAAAGTACGGTGTCTTACGACATTAGTGATGCCAAACGTGGCGCTTTTCTACCGTTCTGCATGAATTGAAAGTTACTCGCTCGTTGGTGACGACAAATTCGCAATTGGGCGGAGTGCTAGGGTAGCTTAAAGTATTTTGTCTGGAACCTTTTCAATTTTGTGAAAGCGTATTTTCTTCCCTTCATATCTAAAACTAGTCATGTGAGACTCCGGTACACAGGAAATGTTTCTATTAAGCTTCTCACGTCCGTTGTGCTTCGAAATGTCCAAAGAAATCAGGAAGATTTTTTTTTTTATTTTTTAAGTGCGCCACTACTTCAATATATCCAAATTTCAAGCTAACTACATAGTTGCAAAAAGGCCAAGCCTCGTGTTCCTTTTTTAACAGTAGAGAAATATTTTTTATTACCGAACAAAATATTTAAAATTTCTTTGACAAAGTCAGTCGGCCCCACGGGAACAAACTGATTTCATTCCTGGGAAGCCGAGCTGCTTCACACCGGGAGAGCCGATAGTCATCTTTGGTAGGCTTAAGAGTAGGAATCCCTTTCGAAAACATAATTATATTTAATTAATAACATTAATAACCATTTGTTTTCCCCAGTATGGAGCACTTAAGCACTCTGGCGCCTTACCGTTGGTGGCTCACACAGTCAAAGTTATGTTTGAAAAGAAACGGAATTTAAATTTCCAAAATTGTGAATTAATAAATTTACCTCATCCTAAAAACCAAAATTAAAAGTAAACTAAATTAATTTAACTTTGACGCGATTAAAACCATAAATCAAAAACAAAATGCAACCAACACACAGGCGAACAAACGCAGGTAAACAACTGGGACTCGAACTTTCTGAGTGATACGGGAACCGAAGCAGGTATTCGCAGTATTTTTTTTCTTCTGTCTCCATCAGCATTCTAGCATGCGAACTCTTTTTATGTACATCCCAGTATCCATTGTGAAAAACTGTTGAAATTCAGGAAGGTAATGGATTTAATGAATTGCGTTTGTAAAACGGATTGCACGTGACAGTTCGTGCGGACACACGCATGCGTAAATTACATACGCATGCCCAGGATCGCACAGTCACGCAAGGTCGATCACAATCGAGGATCTACTCTACTCCCGTTCTTGCTACCATATCGCTTAGGTAGCAATTATTGTTCACTGTATCCAATTATAAGATATTAAACATTATTCGTAATTAGTGTTAAATTAATCGTAACCGGAGAGGAATGAAGCTTTTAAATGAAGGGAAATGGATACTATTGAAATATCAACAATAGTAATTTGCGAATAAGTGACAGGATCTTCGGGGAGCAAAGCTTAAAGAATGTGATTGTGCTTATTGCACAATATTGTTTTTAATGGTTGATTTCCTACTATTCACATATAATTCGATCAGTTGTTCACATTTTATCCTCACTACGTTGTTTTGCTGTATCCGTACCTTATAATTAAACTCTCGCTTATGCCAAGAATGGTAATCTAACTGGTTTCCTTTCCTCGGGTGTCACAATTGACCGTAACTGAAATGGCGTGTTTAAACAGGATAATAAACACGGCAAATGATTGCTATGTATCTGATAGATTAATTGGAATACGTATTGGAGTACGAAATAGAATTGCTAATGGAGGCGATCGGGCACGTATTTCGATAGATGTAGGTCTTTTTTTAGTCGCTTTACTACTATACTACAAGACTAAAGAAAGTATTGTAATGTTGCGCCCAAAATCGGACATTTCTCGACAGAAAAACCTCTATTGTCGGGAGTTCGTAAAGAAAATGTGGATAAATCTTGTTACAAGTAGTTAATTACTAGCCGGCGCCGGTAGCCGAACTTCTTAGCCAAGCTCCGGGAAACTCGGATACTAACGACGCTTAAGTATTGGCTGATAGGGATAAAAGGCAATGAAACAGACTTTACGGAAGACTGACCAAAATGTTCAAGGAGGGTTATTCCTAACCTCCATCGCCACAGAGGTTAGGGACGTTGTTACGCAAGTAACAGTAACAGAAAAAAAATCTTCTTACACTTTATGTAGTCAGAATCTAGGTTTTTTGATACCTTAAAAACCATTAACGTTAAAATCGTGGTTAATGCAAGGGCCTAAGCCGTTCGAACGATATTCCCCAATTGACCGAAACGAACTCGAGGCTCTGTGAGTTTGAAACGGAAATTTCGATTTTGGGGGGTACTTTACTTTAAAGTTTCGTTTTCAAAAAAATTCTTTAAAAAAAATGCTCCAAATTGTTTAATTAAAATTTGTCCTGTAGTAACGTTAAGGACGCTTGAAAATGGCGCAGGTCCAATTTTCAAAAATATCTGAATTTTCGAAAAATGGATTGACGGCAAAATTTCAGTCGGTCTGCCCATCTCTCTTTAAGCATAGTGCTTTAACCGTTCAGCAGATTTCCAAAATATAGGTATTCCTCGATCAGTTTAAAGGAACTCAAGACAGTCTTGGAGTTCAAAATATTTTGATTTTGGTGGTACTTCACATGAAGCCTCATTTTTCTCAAAAATTGCTCAAATGTTTTTAATTAAATTTTGTCCATGGATAGAATAAAGGACTCTTTAAAGAATGGCAGAGGTCTCACTTTCATTGAAATTTCTCAATTTTCGAAAATGCAAAACTTCAAAATTGTTTTTAAAGTCTTGCTGCAACTAAAATATTAAAGATATTTTTCCCTTAATGAAATCTGTTCTATAAAGACAAATCTTGAAATATGCTAGTGTACAATTTTTTGAAAATGAGTAATTTTCCCATCATTTTGCTTGAAATTTAGGCAGTTTTTAAACATTTTTTACTCAAACTGCTCTCTCTCTTTTTTTTTTTTAAGATTACTCCTCTCGTATGTATCAAAGGACTGTTAAGAAGTGGTGCTAGTCCTATTTCTGGCAAACTTTCTGAAATTGCAAAAAGTTAACATTGCAAGCATAATATTGAAGATTTAAAGCAAGTTATAATTTTTTTTTTTCTCAGAACCAGGAAGGACGCCAATAAGAATGGAGCGGGTCTAATTTTCATTGAACTCTGAATTTTCGAAAATTATAGAATTTGAAATAATGAAGAAAGTATTTTGAAAACCATATTTGTCAACAATTATTTTCTTAAAAAGCCCACCAAAGGTCTTCTTAAATTTGTTTTTTCTAATGTGTAGCAAAGGGCGGTTAAAAAATGGTTCTTGTCCCATTTTCGGCGAACACTGTATTTTCGAAAATTGCAAAAAGTCAACATTGAAATAATGCAATATTGATAATCCTTAAATAAGGTTGTGCCATTTTTTGAAAATATAAGCTTTTTCGCGTAATTTGTGCTTGAAATACATGCAAACTTCAGAAAATGAAGCACTAGGGTTGGCGATTGGTGTTAAAGCCAGAGTGGGTTGTTGACCCAGGTGGGGTTCCCCCTCCATCTCACTGAAAATGTATTTGAAGGGAAAAATACAAAACAGAATTTTTTTAAATTGTCATGTTTAACATTGAATTGACATGAAATTGTTAACAAACTATGACTTTTGTAGAACTATTGTAAAACTAAACTTTTTCAAGATCTAGACCTAATGAAGCCACCAATTATATGATAAATCTCACTCCATTAGAGATTGGGGGGTGAAAGTGTATATGGATCTGATTTTTGATTTCAGATAGACTTTCACGGATCATGTTCATTGCACAATAGTCAAACTAAACTCGCATTATCAGCCAGCCCTGCTCTACACAGAGACGGATTCGTCCGGGCAGTGGAATTACATTACACACTGACCAACTCGGAGAGTATAATCGACTAACAACACGATTTATCATTACTGATCGGAATTTCGACAATGCAACATCTGTGCAAGTGAGACGGACTGCTTCCCCCCTCCCCCCCATAATTTTAGGGATAAATAAATTTATTGACCTAGTTTATAAACAAATGTAACACACGGTAAAATATGGTTTTATATAATTGAAAACTGAATATTTTTTAATTATTAAAACGGTGATAGTGAAAAACCATTCCCTTTGAAAATCACATAAGTCACTGTATCATGCTGCAACTGTATTGCTGGCATGAGTTTGAATAAAATAATTTTTAATACCATTCAGTAAGGATTTCTTTTAATATTGCGTGTTATTGCTACAGCTTATAAATTTTAAAAAATGCTATGCATTACTTACCAATTCACTTGTGTTTATTCTTGTAATTATCAAAATTTGCTTAAATTACAGATTTTGAAAAGAAATTTCCATTCTTTTATATTCAATTTTTTTCTGCCAGATTGGATCTGCAATTTAAATCTCAGACTCCATATTCGTGATCAGTGATCTCCAAAACCCTTATGAACAAGAAAACTTACCGATTAAACAACTGTTCCACATTAGGACCAGCATTTCCAGATGTGGAATCACTAAGATGGCAAAACGTTACTACACACCATACAATTTGTCAGGTGGTATGGTGAGGGAATCGGTGGTTACGTGATCAGGACCAACCAAGTTCTCAATAAAATTTTTGTTGGACAACTTGCCTCCCCGTGATAGAATATGTTGCCAGTTCTTTGTCTTGACATGGACTGCTGAATAATAGAGGGTGCGATAAATTCTACATTCTTAGATCCGCTCGTCCTTCCCTGACAAGAGAATTGCTCTCGGTAGTTTACTTGCAATTTACATATTATGTACATTGCTAATCGATTGTGTATTTTTATGCTCAAGACGGACAAAACAAGATCTGTTTCTTACTCAATTGAAAAAATATTGTTTATTTACTATTGTACAAGAAATAATGTAATCAATCATTTGTAATTCATAATTAAATTACATTTAGATTAGGTGTAATGAAGTTTAAGAGATATTTAACTTTTTTTGAATTTGTTTTGCATGTGTCTAGTTTAATACATGCATTCACTAATGATGATAACACATGCACAGCGAGGGTGCAGATTGCTATGAATTAGTAAAACACGTTCATAAAAACATCTAATGCTGTGCCTTTAAATAATTTTATTTGTGCATGGTATGATGTACGAGACTACTAAATATTTTGCGTGTAAATAATTTTATTCTCATATAGTCTGATGTTCAATACTACATGTAATATTCTATTTATTTTACAAATTTGGAAGTGATATATGCAAAGGTTATACATTTATTTATACGGCTAAGAATGGATTAAAATTTGTTTGGTTATGGCTAATGACAGTTCACTTCTTTTATTAAGACTGGTATGATTTATATCATGATTTAAATCAATATTTATTATTGGTAATATTCGAAAATATATTTGGGTCTTTAATATTGGTAAAATAAAAATTACTCGGATAAAATGAATTGAATAGATTACAATGTTGATTTTAAGTATATATTATATTTCCTATTAAATTTTCACATTATTGAACTATTTTGAGAAGATAAAATTCAATATAATATACAATAAAATTAGTAAACTTATGAAACAAAGAACAATAAACAATTTGTAGTAGTATTATATACCAATAGACTTGGAGGATTGATGAATTTTTATTCAGCATTTAATTCTGTGCATAAAAACTAATTTAGCAGCAACGCCGCTTTAACACATGCAAGCTAGTTTCAAGAAAAATACGTTTAGAGCATCTACGGTGTCCATAATTCTGGATTTGTATTAAAATGTTTGCTAAAGCAACTTATCATCTTAAAGATGAGCATTAATAAAAATTGAATTCTATTAATATTGTTAACACTTAAAAAAACACTAATTTTAATAACATATCCCCTTTCCTTTGTGTGTTTATTGATAAAATTCCATTTTAAGTGGGAAGCATACTTCCCACTGGCCGCTGAAGTGTTAAGAGAAAATGTGCGAATAACAACTATCATACACCAAATTATTTTATAACAGGAAAACTTTTAAGTAGAATTTAATATTTCAAAACCTGTCTAACATTATTGGAAGTTTTTTGATAAATTCAATTGTATTCAAACGTAAGTGCTTTCTGATTAGTGTGGTATTGCACAAAAAAAAAATGTTAAAATTTCCTTAAACGAAGAATGCCTTTTATCTATATTACGCAAATAGATGGTGCCACAAGCTTATTTGGTAATGTGGATGCAAGTGTTTCAAGAGCACGAAACTATAAATCAAATTGAAAGATTTTATGGGTAGGGGATATTGCACTGAAGCCTTCAAATATATAGTACCTTTATTTTATAAATACAATTACAATTAATTATAAATTTAAAAACTGATGTTTTAGTAAACTTTTTCTGATTTTAAAGTAATTAAGGGAAAATAATTCACTTGATGATTTTGGTTTAAAGTAAAACATCTAATACAATTTTAAACAATTTATTTAAATAAAAAATTATTTAAATCAATTTTTTAAAGATTCTTTTTTTTAGCTCTAACTTTTATTTAATATTTTGCTTTGTTAAATCTTTGTATTATTATGTTGTATCATTGGAAATGATTAGTTCTGGTTCCTTTTGAATGTTCAGCATGTGCAAGGACTGTATATACATTTAAATATTGAAGAATAGTGTGTGTGTTTTGGAAAAGCAGCTTACAATATGAAAGGGAATGTTGCAGAGCAAAGGGTGGTAAAAAACAGATGTTCAAAAGATTCTTTTAGATATTTATAACAAGCTCAAAAAAGACATTTCAATTTCTATAAAGCTAAACTTCAAGACAAGACCTGTCCATAGCTAGTTAGTCAATGTAGTAACAAAATGTTTTTTGTTTTTACATAAAGTGTATTTTGTGTATGTTTCATAGGAAGAAGATGAATGGCGGGAATTTGAAGAGCAGAAGAAGGATTATTCTGGTTTACGCATAGGAAAGCTTCAGATCCAAGAAGGAGACGAAGGTGGCGGGGATGATGATGGAGAAGAGGAGCAAGTGCTGGAAGAAAATGAAGCTGGTGTGATGGTTTTGCGCTCTCGCAAAATGCAGTCTGGTCCCTGGAAAATGCAGCAACAACAATTGCAACAGCAGCTGCAACAGCAACAGCAACAGCCCCCTCCTGAAGAGAGACCACCTCCACCGCCAGAGAACTTGGACACTCCTGGTGAGGCTCCAGGGTGAATGCAGAGAAAATGATTTGCAATGGAAGTTAACACTAATAGGATGATAAATGGCCTGATTTTAATCCTTTAGCTTGTGTTCAGAAAAATTCAGAAGATAATTCATAGAATGCTACTTCATTTTATTTTGTAACATAGTATTTTGCAAAACTTAACTGCACATAGCGAGTTGTTTTTTTACTCTATTTATAAATTCTTAATTCAAGAAAATTGTTTTCCTTGATCTACAATTGTATAGTAACATTTCCTCTAAAGATTAATATCCTGACTAGCATTATTGATGTATACTATGCAAGTTTTGAAGATACGGAGTAGTGCCACTGGCTTTCCTCACCTAACTGATATGAACGATGAGGACAAACTGGTCTTACAAGCTATATTGTCATAGTATAAATGTCATTTCATCACCCTTACCCTCAGAATCTTCCCTACTGCTTAGCCACAGAGAACAGTATTCTTGAAAATTATGAATTTCTCTTGCCCCCTCCAAGAGTCAAATCCAACATTTGTGCTATTAGTAAAATTGAGTTTTTTTAGAATTAATATATTTATTAAGTTAATACAATTGTGCTTGAGTTATCAAATTGTAACTTCAGAGAATTGGAAATAATTACATATATTTATCAATGATTTAAAAGTGTGGTGGAAACTACTTTCTAAGAGACTTCTTTGATTAACTTCAGTCCCCTTCACTTAACATGGACCCAATTTTTAATTTTTTTATGGCAAAAATTAAGAAATTTCTGAAATAATATAAGTATATATTAAAGCTAATGAAATAATTAAATAAATTCTGTTGTTTGAAAAATTGTTTTTGTTTTTTTAATTTCTGTGATTTGTGTTGATGTAACATATTGTCAACGTGTTAAATGGATGTGAACGCTTAGTTCAGGGATCAAACTGTTGTCGTGGAAGCTAGCTTCTTATGTTCCGCTCCTCTTAGTATGAAAAAAAAAGAAAGTATTCACTTTCTAAAGTTTTCAAAAATGAGTCTTAATTTTTTTTTAATTCTCTTCATGCTTTACCAATCTCTTTTAATACAGCTATCCTTTTGTTCTTGTGTTATTTCTGGTGTTCAAAATGCTTGTTTTAGTGAATTCGTTGTTTGTGTTTGTTTTGTAGATAAAAGGTCAGATGGTCCCAGCTCTTATGTGCCACCTGCTTTGCGAGGCGGACAGAATAGGGATAGGGATAGAGACTATGGACCAAGTAAGTTAAAAATGAGTAATGTTATTTATTAATGGATTATTGTTCAAATAAAAAATAATTTAAGTTGCATGATGTAAGCTTTGTGAGATTCAAAGGGCTGGTAACAATTGTCTCTTTAAGAAGATTGTGATCAATAAACTGAATATCAAACAATATTTCTTTCAAGAAAGTTCTAAAACTTGTTTTAAGAAAATTAGTTATATATTTATATATATATATATATATTTATAT